TATAGTTAAATAAACATTTGGGTCATAATGTGGTATGATTTGCTTTCATATTTGTTAATTGTTAACGCCGCTACACAGCTTTAAAGAAGACAACCTCTATAAGATTAAAAACTAAAATGGCCAATTGGAATCTTACTGCTTTTACAATTTAAATAATTCAAAGTAGGATTACCGATTTCATGTAATTAACAGAATTAAAGGTTCATTTCCTTAAAAGCGATGAAACTGCTCCGATTTACATTGTGTTTGGATTTATTTTAATCGCAACGATATCAACAATTCACTGACACTACGTTTGAGAAAGTAAGATTGAAATGAATGAAATTGATATTTCCATTATTGCATCGCGGCATCGCTTTGAAGTCCCGAGTCTCGATCGTCGATGTCTCATCCTTATTTGTAGCTCACTTCGTCAAATCAGTCAATAACAAAAGCAGATAAAAACGAAGCGTCAACGTTCAGCGCGAGTGGACGTGTCCCCTTACCGCACTTGCCTCTTCAGTTTGACGGACAAGTTACTAAACGTCGTTGGAGAACAGTACTTCGAAGAAGACAAGGACCAACAAGTTGTATGTTGATTAATAAAACTAAAAAAAGGATAATTCGGTTACTTTTTTAACAGACCTCCTATATACGTAAAGTTTGTTCAAGAGAATCGCACGAACTACATGCTCTCGTTTCGATAAGTTTATTTTAGATACTCGTTACGATAAGACAAGTCTGCAGCGATCCGGCTGTAACGATCTACGAAAACTACGAAGTTCCTTCTTTCAGTATTCATGTGATACGCCCCACTCGCTTTATCATCCAAATCCAGTTGCCCAATATCAATTTGACGGGAAACATAGTCGCGGGACAATCGTGCTCCACGCCGAGTTTAAAACTTGGGATTTACAACCCCAAGAGGGTTAGAAAGATAACCATACGGTTATTCGTCACTCTGCGGACGCGTACAACGCCGATCGAACGCGCGTCTCGATACAATATTGATTTAACGTTAGAACTTTCGTATCAGTCAAAATGACTAGTTTTAGATTTATTACTTCGCAATTATTAATATTGTAAAAGTATTAAATATCTGCCGAAACTTTAAAAGTGAATCGTTTCACTTCAATACTATTATGAATACCCGAAGGAACTGAGAAAACGTATTTTTCCAAGTTCTATGAAGATTGCACAGAATGAGCATAATATATACAAATATATAAAATATCCAAAATGTTGTATTTTTTATACCATTCATTAGAAAAAAACTATTTTCCATCGTAATGCTATTTTCCTAATTATATCATTAAAATTTTGAGTTTGCATAAAAGTCCGCCGTCTAGTCATTATCCTTAAATGTTCGTTCTGTAACTTTCCTCTTAAAAATATTTGCATAATCTCCGTGTAATTACTTAACCGTTTTATGCAACAGGTGAATTCAAACTGATGAAAAAACAATTATTCGTAAGTACAATCATGGAAGGAGGTAGTTTATATAATTATGGCGACCAACACGTTTCGCAAAAGTAGATGGGTATTATAATGAATCCTTATATGTAATATATTGTGTAATATAATATGTAATATAATATGTAATATAATATATAATATAATATACAATATAATATATGTATAATATATAATATAAACAAATTTTCGAATTATATGATCAATACTATAACACTGTCTAACACGATTTTTGTCCTGCAATGTCCATTAGCTGATCCTTATAAAATTCCTTGCCGTAAACACGAATTCGGAAATCAAATTGCTAAATTACCCTCAGCTTTCGAAAAACATGGGTTTTTGTAAAAACGATTGATTTTTCGAAAGAAAGAAGTATTACGTGAAAACTAAAAACCATAGGCAGTTCAAATTTGTCGTAAAAAATAGAAGAGAGGTGCTCGAATATGTAGTTATAAAAATGTTAAACATTTCGTGTTATTAAATACTTGTAAATGATGATCAATTCATGAAACAACCTAATATAAACCCAATTCTATTTTTATAGGATTTTAATTTAACATAAATCAGTTTATTTTATTTACACGATGCCTTTGACTTAACACGAATTAGAAAACACTGATTTCCTATCTCCACGATTTGGTTACATCTAATCACCTAAATTCTAACATGAATTTTCACAATCTATTGCATCATTTTACTGATTTCTTGGGTCTAGAACCAATCTCTACTTTTCTATATACAATACTTAATATATTTTTTATACGGCACGTGTGAATTTTCTCACGGAATTTACTGTAATTTCAATTCCCCTAAATTAGTCTAAAGCAATGTACTTATAACATTGCGTTCGAAAAGGTGATATCGCGTAGAAGTCGAAAGCATGTTCCATCGAAGCACAGGACGCAAGTGTCGGTAGGTAAAACGACTATAGCGAGCGGTCTCTTTGTTTCCGGCGGTGCCTTTCACTTTAAAACCGTTCGCTCCCCTCCCGCCGCGATAAAAAGTTCAATATCGAGCTGAAAAGCTAGCTAGCGACCAGTAGCATTGCAAAAGAGGGCGGCATGCAAGTACTTTTCCCAGCAATGCAAAGTGGCGCGGGTGCTCCACTGACTTCCGGTCGAAGTCTGAGCAGAACCAAAGTGAACTTTCAAGATCCGGAATTGCGAGAACTTTCCTCTGGGTGCGGGCAAGTTTCCCTGAGCCCGGAAATGGGAACTGCCACGCTTCTGTTTCGCTATAGATAGACTTCGTTTCCACTTTTCGTGTTTTCTATTTCGTTCATTCGTTCCTTTTGTTGTGCTTCAGGCCTGCGGATGCTAACGATTTTTCGATTTTCTATTTTCAGGAAGCTGCCAAAACGCGGAACCGTTTGGCACTAAAAACGTCGCCAGAAAAATTAGTGCTCTGAGGGACGAACTGCAGGCTGACGATGCAGATCAGTCGTACGCGTGAGTACAGGGTTCAACTTTTTACTATGGAAACGTTTTTCGAAAGATCGGACTGCTGATGTTTGTGAATATTTGTATTAGTTTGATTAACACTAGGTTTATGGAACTCGTTAATTTGACGCATATTAAATTCGATTTTGGTTGATGCGGTTATGCGAATATGTACCCTAATTGTACAGTTTTGAACCTGTAATTCTTAACATCTAAATTAACAAACATCAATTTTTCTAGAAACTATAGAATAAACTGTACATTAAATTCCGTAAATCTGGTGTTAATTATAAAAATCAAAATTTTAGAGATACTTTGAAGCACTAGTTTTAGTGAAGTGTTATTATGAGTTATATAATGTATGTTTCGAAAGCGTGAAAGCATTGTCTCAGCCTCCTTCAGATGTATGAAACTCGTGTCTTAAAAGGGTATAATATGTAAGTTAATTCGTTAATAATTAAGATCGATATTCATGGACTTTGATATTAAAATGACATTGGTATATGAATCATATTAAACGTTTGAAGGTACAATTGTTATTACTTCCTCAATACTCTGTGTTATTGTATTAGTATAAAACGTTAATAAATATTTTATTTAAGATTGCACAAAATTACAGATTTATAAGAAAAACAGGTCGAGTTGTCGATCTGCTTAGTCCTCTTCGATTTTGATGACTTTCAAATATGTTATTAGGGACATGATTTTGAACAACTTTTTCCTTTATGGAAATCGCGATCGATACGTTCGCATTTAATCAAATTAACATTTTTCCAATTTACCATGTATTATATTTTATCAAATTCTCACTTTTAACATATATAGGAAAAGAACAGTAGGGTCGTTTAACAAAAAGAATAAATAGAGGTCAAAGGACACGTCGTTCACGCTCCTCGTTCCCCGTAACAACCTGTTCAGGCGACTTCACTGAACTTCGATCAGGCCGACGCTACATCGTCATTAAGCATAACTTGGACTTTGGATCGCCCACGGTTACCGAGGATCAAACGAACGAAGCCCAGAGTACTGGGAACCGATAATTACTCCTGGCATACGAAATAAGGGTTGGTCGTGTTGCATGTACAAACTTTTTAATTGACGTTGGTTCGCACAGCCTCGGGAGGATAAGTCAGGCGTTTAATGATTTGCATGTACTGCTCATATAAGTTTTTAAATTGCGGTAAAGTACAAAATTTCATTAGAATTTCATGCAGGGTGATTCAAGAGGTGAATTTACACGCGAAAATATTCGGCATATTCATCTCGTGCCTTAAGACATGCTGCCACGTACATGCTTTAGCATTAAGTTCCGTACTCACTTGAAAATACCAGGTATTCTTGGAATAGTTTCAAATTCATTTTGCACCCTTTCTCGTAGATCGAGAATTCGAGTTTTGACTCTCAGTTTAATGCTACGATTAGATTTCATTTATATGTTAAGTGCTAAAAAAGAGATAATAACGGTGAAATTTACAGATAAATTAAATATTATTAAACGAATATGAAATGGGTGAAAGCACATACATGTAGAGATGGAAAACGGGCTGCGATACAGGCAACGACCATCCATAGTTGAAAGAGTCTGTTGATGCGTCGCGACCTTGTACCTACATTGTAGTGTTTAGTTCTTAATCCCTTGCCATAGAATGACGAGTCAGACTCGTGATGAAGATTTCGGAATTAGTTTAATAAACATCAATGTTGTTCAATGCGCGAGGATCAAAGCACAATTATTCACAATGTGTGATTCTTTGCCAAGATATTTTTAAAATAGATTATATTATTACGTTATTTTCAATATTATTAGTAAGAAGAACCGTTTACATTGCTCCCTAAAATGCATTTCAAATAAAATATCGTAACAATAGAGTTATAGAGGAAAAAATGCAAACGGAATTCGGAGTGCAAAGAGTTGAAATGCGTGTGAGTTGAACGAAATGACAGCTTCTGATAGTCTCCTAATAGTCCAAGAGACTGTTACGCAAGAGTCTATTGCAAGCAATCTACCAGATTACATTCTCTTTACTAATCATTTAATTTTAATAAAGTATTTCCTATATTTGTTGAAACACGCGTGTTCGTGCACGCTGTCCAGGCAGTATTAGTGGACGTGGCGTAACACTTTCACACGCCGAATTAACATTGTGTGAAATAGATGTGATGAAAAAAGGCTTCTCCTTTTCTCGTTCGAAAGTGGACTCTATTTGTTTAATATTGAGTGAATGGAATGTGTGTGTGTGTGTATACAAAAGTTAAAGTGTGTGTGTTGTCCAATGAGCACAGCGTGATTAGTAATGAACTTGTGATTATGTCTGTCTGTCTGTCTGTCTCAATGCCTCTCTCTATATATATAAAAATACAGAGATAGGGCGGTGTCCTTAGTGACAAATTAGAAGGCTAAACTATCGGGGTGTTGCTAGTTACAGTTTTTTAACCTACAACCACATTACTTGTAGTGGGGGTAGGCGGTACGTCGTCCCTTCTGACCTGCAAAGGTACCGGTGGCTGTGCGCTCAGGGTTTAGGTGGTTGAGCTGCCGTTTTTTTATGATATGTGTCTTAACCAAATAAACCATGCCGGAACAACGCGAGTTGTTACAATTCCCCACACAGTCACATTCTACATATATTTGAAAACTGTTTAATTTCCGTTGAGCCGTTCATACGAACCGCGGCATTAAGCATGCGTTGAATAAACGAACATGATCTTAGACGCGTTCACTCCCGCGTCTTTTTCTTTTGTTTATACTTCACTTGTTCTCCACGCATTTCCTCTTGCTGTTGTGTACGTAGTCGCATGGTCGATCTAACGTGCATCGAGGTTTACCTCCTCATCAATTTCTGACATGTTTACGAATTTGTTCCTTTCAAATTGTCTTATCTATTATCTAAACGAATCTAATTCAGATTTTTTAAACCGAAGATATAGAATTACGCTATAACAGCAAAGTCCAAACATTTCGTTCCACCCTGTACAGACCGTAGTTCCAAAAGTGCAATAATGATTTTATTGAAAATTTGTATGGTTCACTTGCATCACTTGCAGTCTGTTTATTTCGATTACGTTACGGCACGAACCATAATTATCGTAGTGACGCGCCAAATATTTCGCGTGGAGAAAATACATTGGCCTCGGGCGATCGTTTCACGTCGGAACGTCGCCGCTACTAAAGGAACCTTTACGGTATTAGGCATTTGCGGTATTTTCGTTTACAACCGTCAAACTCTTGAACAATGGATGTAACATGCTGCCTGACCCGTCGCTCACTGTTGATATTGTGGGAATATCGGGACTCTCGGAATATGCTAATTTCAACGGAATTATCTCCTATAATTTAACTCAGAGACTTTCACTGTTAAACGATTGAAGATTTCATTTTAGATGCGTCTTGACTACGAAGCATTTCACAACAACAGATTAAAAAAAGTACACAGTTCCTGTAAAATAAGCAATGTGGTATTTAAATCATATTCTCTTGTGCATAGTCATAAGTGTAGAAATAGTGCAGTGTCCGCATATTAATATGAGTAATTGTATATAAATATATTACCCTGAGAAGGGCACCGTTTAGTCGGAGGAACCCCTTTGTCAACGTGGATCTCGCCCTGTTTATTGAACCCCAAGACTCGAGAACGATTTTCCTTAAGAAAGCTCGCATGGACGGAACGCAGACGACCAGCGTTAGACTTTCTCCTCATTTACATTTTCTTACAGATATATAATAACGTGAATTTTAACGGAATAGTTAAAGTCTTAATAAATACAATCTTATCATTTTTATAATGTACATCCTATCTAATCTGATCGTTCGGTAATTCTTATGTTAACGGTATCTTTCTGTATTCGGTTGTTCTGCCGAAAGAAATTTGAAGGAGACTTCCCTCAGGAGAGAATATTTAATACGGGAAAAAGGAATGAGCGAGTCGAGGGTAACTTAAAGAGGTACACGATGTTATACATGCTGAAGGGAGGTTGGGACTGCGGGCTGAAAGTATAGTCATCCCATTTTACGAAGAGAAAAAATGGTTGGCTATGTTGTCCATTAGCTGGGATGCGTCTCTCGGGGGTAAAAAAACGCTCGATGAGAACGTTGGCTCTTTCTCGTCCCGGAACGCGGCGGAGGTGCCAGAGACGGAAGCGGAAACAGCGCCTCGAGCTGACGAAAATAGGGACAAAGTTCTAGTCCCGCCGGAAGATACTTCGACCAACTCATCCCTTCGGTCAGGTTTGAATGTCAGTGAGTAAAAACGTTTTTACCTCAAATTGCATTAAAGAAAAGTTAAATCGTTCCGATAAAGTGTAAAATCATTCTTTCCCCTTATTTTTTTGTCTAGTTCTAAGGACAAACGTACACGTACTATTTTCAATTGGTGATGTATTTGTTAAATGGTGTCTCGGTAGATTTTTGTTCGGATTGTGAATACTGGCACTATGGCTTTATAAAGTTAAGTTTTTATGATTTCCTATGAAAGTCACCCTTTAGCCGCGGGCTAGATATATACATTTGGGGTTTCACATGAAAAGTCAAGAGGAAGGGTGAATAGGTTTCACATTCATATCTGTAAACTCTACGGATGAAATTTGAAATCTGTTAAATTGATCAACTTTGTGCAATACTTACAGAGCTAGAGAACACTTAGTGCACCCATACACTTGTATAAACTATGATTTTGTCATAATCCACGTTTCATTTTTTATAACTATCTGTTTTAATATCATTTTATTAGAAACATTAATTTTCAGCTTTAAAGCAAATACAGTATCATTCCTACTTTCGTGACATAGTCAATTAACACTAGAACTATCGGTACGGTCAAATCGATATGTTTCAGTTTTCTTATTTCCCAATTCTCGACATATTAGAAGTGTTAAATATTCGAAATGGTTTAAAAAATAAATAGTTTCAGTTAAATACTGTATTATAATAAATATATGAAAAAATCGAAGACAATCTATTGTTACAATTTTTATAAGGTTTACATATTGATCATACTTAATGCTAAGTAGTTCTAGCGTTAAAGTGTTAACGTGTTCAGTTTTAATGTAGTTTTTTTTTGCAAGAATACAAATATATAATCTGTCTAGTAAAAGTTTACAGTAAAATTGTTACTTGCATTTTTATTTTATAATCATTTTCGGAATATCACGCAGCTCGAATCCGTTTTAATGATGCATTTATGTCGGTTTGTCGTACTAACGTTAAATTTTTCTTAGCTTTTCATGTATTTACAGCGACTATGATCTGTATTTCTTCTCCTCTCGGGTCCGTGGACATGAACTCTGATCTGAAACGTGACATGTTTACAGCATTTGCATGTATTATGCAGCTTGAACAATTTATTAAAAATTTACTACGTAGACATTCCTGGAAAAATGAGACTATTTGATTTTTCTAGAAATTCTATGATATCGACAACTGGGTGAACTTTTTTCCGTAAAAGATTAAATTATCCTTTACAATTTATTCTTGCCTTTATACTGTAAAATTCTTTTATTCTTAATTTCATATGATCCTAACGGATCATTTTTTATGCTATATCATTATACTCGTCTTAATACACGCTCCTTTATGACATAAAGATACGTATCATTGTATTAAAATAGTTAAATAATACTTTCGTTTTCTGAAAAATATGGTACATACATACATGTGTAGACACATTTTTTCTTTTGTGTTCTTCAAATATTTTTCGAAATTATGAAATTTTTGTTGAATGTTTCATTTATTTTATAATATTTGTACAATCTTTTACGACACTCAGTGTAACACTTTTTAAGAAATTTCTTAATTTCGAGACTTCCTGTTTTTGTCCCAATGGATTAATAAGCGGGTTTGTACTGTATCGGGAAAAGTATGCAAATTATCTGTTTCAACTAAATAAATTCGTTCAAAGCGGAATTATAGAACTTTATATGTTCTGAATAAGGACTGTAACGTATTAGGTTGGTGAAAAAGTCTTATCCACATGGCGTTTATGTTATAATATACTAATAAATATTGCAAATAGCCAAACTAGAAGTCAACAGAAAGTTTTCAAATAATGTATACAGTGCATAATTTAGTTCAATGAAGTTCAATGTAACGTAGTAAAATAATTCTTTAAATTTGGTTTAAAAATGTGACGAGACATTTTGATTAACCTAATATCAGGTTGTCCCATAAGTTTATATATATATTTTCGGTCAAGAGTTTGAGACTAGTACATTGGTGAAAAGAAAAACTTCCATTTTTTGTAAACAACTTTTATTGGAGAATTTTTGTGTATGAAGGAACATGGACATATGTGTATTAGTTAAATAGAATAATATATAATTTTTATTATTTTATTTTATATATTTATAAGATATATAATTTCAAGGTTCATTTATCAAAAATTTGTAAGTAACACGTTTTACTGTTTGTATTATTTTTTTCTATCGAGGAGTGAATATTTTTCTTGAAATTGTCTTTTAATAAAAAAAGTTGCCTTTATTTTTAATGACAACTTGACGTATTCTGCGCATCCTGAATATTAGTTTTTCGAGTGTTTCTAATTTTTCTCTTTCCTATACGTAATGCTCAACAGTTATTACAGAACAAATGAATCACGGGTTCTGTATAAGTCGACAACGGAACATCTTTCCCGGTAGCAGGAAAGTCCATTCAGAATATTGCTTTAAACTGGGCGTATTACCTACATAAGAGCGTTATGGGTATAATAACTAGCTGAAATCTCTAAAACCATAATGCAGCGTGTTAATATCTTACGTAACAAAGTTAATCGGTATATTCGATTGTGACAGAAATCAGCAAGTGATTCCAATCTTTTGACCGGAAGTGTACGTCAGCACGAACTTATGGGACGATCTAATAGTTCTAGATAACTTAATATTCTATATAATCATGGTTCGCGACAAATTCTACGTTTTCAGCGACCACACCGATCGCCAGACGAAGGAGCAATGGCGGTGACAGGGCACGGAAGAAACGTCGTCGCGGTAAAGAGTCGAAATATTCGGACGTAGGTCGGCAGCGTAACGCCACAAGCGAGATCCGTGAGAACGAAGTCAGAGGGAAAAGGGAGGGTCAATTGAAAAAATCGAAAGATTCCCGGGCAAGATGGTACCGCGCCGAACGACGACGACGGAGGAAGAATCGAGAGCGGAAACGAGGACGGAAGAGAACTAGACAGAACACGGAAAAGGCTGACGGCCGAAGGAACTCGAAGTTTAAAAGACGAATGAACGATGCGCCGGCCGCATTGGTTCTTCGGAAGTTGTTTGACAGCCACGTGGTCGAAGATTCTGTTCCCAGTTCGTCCAATGTTACTTGGAAGGGTGACCAAGTGCTTCCAAGTAATTCTACTTCGAATACTTCGTACATCACGTCGCCATTCAATCTTCAAGATCAGTTAACTACTGAAATCAATAGACGATCGTCGCAGACCACTAAACGTTACAGGTAAAGTTGGAGTCAATCTCAGAATGAACGAATTGGATTCTTTAGACCTGATGGACATTATAATGTACGATACTCGATATAAAGATACATAAAATAGTGTACAGCCACCATTTTATTTGAAATGAATGCTATTACTGGTGGTGCATCCAGTGAGGTTCCTTTGTAATCAGGAAAATGAACATAATTTTGTAGAAAAATTAAGACTAAAGAGGTGGAAACAAAATCAATAAGTACGCCAATTCCAAACTTTATGATTATATTGACTATTGATTAAAAAATAATTACTTTGTCCGAAGTCCTAATGTCTTACTGTCTGTTTGAAACTTAGTAATTTGCGTGTGTAACGTGCTGAGCGTTCTTTATTAGTTCTAGTTTAAACAATTAAAAAACTACGAATGTAATAAAAAAATAGATGATTAGTTTATGAGGTATATTGCATTGCTAATACGAAGAATATCGCTTTAATGAAAGCACAATGAGGCTAAAATAGAGTTGCAATTGTAACAACTCAAAAATCAAATTATTTTATACATCTAACATTTCCTCCCGGTTCTGACTACAGAAATTATGAAGACACGGTTGAAAGGGAATTTTCAAAGCAGCTCGAGAAGGAGATCTTACGGACGCAAATGGAAGATCCAGCAAGCTTGGAGAACCGTATTCTAGGTAGTTCGTTGTCAAGACCGTCTCATAAAAACACTGAACAGAGAAGAGAGAAATGGAAAAGCAGAATAGACAACAAGTTCGGTAGTTCAAGATATGACGCAGAGAAGATGCTAGGTTATTCAAGGACGAAGGAGGACCTACCGATCTTGGATATGGAGAACGAAGTTCTGGCGAGGACACTGAAGGATTACAACGCTTACATGACGTCGAGTCTGAAACTGTCGATGTTACCGTGTTGTGATAACGTCGAACGACATAAAACTCAGCAGGAATCTCATTATCATGGCAAACCCATAATTGACGGTACCGAATTCGAAAGGTTAGCAGGAAAGAAGACCGAAGGAACGTCAACCACCACTATATCCTACGACGAAAATACCAAGGGGGATTTATCATGCATAAACGGGACCTTCGTGCCTGCTCCACTGGCACGGCATGCGCTGATCAAATATGTAAAGTAAGTAGTTTTTGGTATGAATTATTCAACTCATCCTGAACACGGCGTTGAATGAAATCAGTTGGACCACAATTTGCTTTATAAAACAGTGGAGATACTGCGAGGCTGCCTTTGCGAAACGTTCTTCGTACAGTGTGCACTCGCCTTGCATCTGAAGCTGCATCGCGACGAGCCAACAGCTGTCGGTTTTTTTTATGAGATCAAACGAATTTCGTAGTTCGTTATACTCTTTGTTTTGACGGTGAATCTTTTAAATTTGCTGCATCACGATAAAGCAAATGCTGCGGCAGCACTGATGTTACGTGGATATAGATGCTTTAATTCTCTTGTTGTTACTACTGGCTCATGTTGCTTTGCTTGTTTGCTTTGGGTATGTTACTTAAGATATGAAGCAATTCGCGAGGCTGCATCGCAGTGTCCGTATATATACAAGGCGTTGGAAAAATACGGTGCAATATTTAAAGGAAAATTCCCTATATTGCGCAGCTTAAGCAAATATTTCTATAAATCGGAAAAATTGATATTTTCAAGCAGAAACAATTCATACAAAGAAATACAAAGAATAGTAGTTACATTTAATTTTTTAGAGGAACAACATCTTCTGACTATTTCTAAACAAAATTATATTCGTTCTTTTCTGTTTGTTAAAGTTAACAACATGTTTTAGTTAGATACAAATTTCTAAGTCGATTAATACGTATTACGATCCATCATTTTCTATATATCAGCTCTTTTGTATTTCACTCGTTAATGGGAAGATTTTATTATAAATTTGTTTAACTCTAGTTTTATTCACTTTAATGGATCGCTTTACGCTAGATATTAAAGTATCCAAACTTTTAAGGAGCCAGCCATCTGATACCGACGTAGAAAGATGATACTAAGGTTGATTGTGACCTGTACGAGAAGTTGTTCCAAGTTAATTAATCATTTAATATTTTGCAGTACTTAACATTCATTTTGAAAATTCGCTAAATATGATCATATAATAGTACACTTTGACATATAAAAACACGTAATGTGTGGTAATACAAATTTATTGGTTCTGCATTGAAAATGCAGAAACTGATAAAAGTTAACACGGTATTGGTTAACGAAGGATTAAATAACGAAGGTTATATTTTGTGATTTTAAATGAACGTTTTTAGGTAAGCAATGCTTAAAGACGCATTTGGAACGTGTATAACTATTATTCTCTTTGTACGTTTTGTTCAGAGCTTCGCCGGGTATATACCCGTGAGAGATTTCTTTGAAAGCTTCCCCGTTCATTTATTCTTTAATCGAACAGATTATTGCCCCTTGAAAATTCCTCTTTTGTTAGAAAACTGAATTATGGAGACAAGTTCATAGTAGAATTGTACGAGATCCAGAAAACTTTCACATCGGAAAGCTTAAAGTTTTCAGTGTTCTGACTTGCTGAAATTATCTCGATGTATTGTGAAATACAAAAAAAAGTAATGACGAGAGAACATTATATTTATGACCAATAAATCCACGGAACAAGTTATGCAGAACGTGAGAAAATTTTCAGTATAAAAGAAAGTGACTATACGTGTAGAAGTTAATATAAAAACGTAGAACAAAGGTTTTCTTTTAATCAGAAATTTAATGCTTTTTTTATAATAGTTGGGCGAGATATGCTTTGAAATCGTTAGGTACATACGTTCTAGGAGATAATTATTCGAATAAAGTAGATTGCGATAAATTAATTTACTGTCGTCGAATCGTTAAACGAGTAAGATATTATAGATATTATATGTATTGTATATTCTTTATTAATTGTGTTTCATTGCTTCATTGTTGTTTCCATCAGAAAAATTGGAATTTTACGTTCTGCAAGTTTTAAAAGTTGTATAACTTATCCATTAAGCTTCATAAATAAGAGTAACAAAATTATTTGTTATTTCGAATTTGAGAAATAACAAATAATTCTTTATTGATATTTAAAATTTCAATTGCTACTAGTACAAATAGCTACTACAATAGAGTCTCAGATGTCGTTTCTTTTTTATTTTCATCTTGTTCATTTCAAATGATATTTTATTTTCTTATACCACTTAGTACTACTTACTTTTAGTAAGTAAAGTTTAATGTTTGTTTTTACGTTATTATAATATATGATAGGTAAATGGCTTTTACAAAGAAAATTAAATAAGATTAAATTCCATTAAGTTGAATTAACTCAAATTAAATTAATTTAAATTTTATACATTATCGGTAAAAGGGTGTTTCCGAAAAGTTATTAGTATGTGCGTAAGAGTTTTAAAGGATTTTATGTTAAGAATAAACTCTGGAAATTGTATTTTTATTATTTAGTATTAGAGTTGGTAACTACATTTCATTGTCTTGTACGACTAATCTTTTCTTCAAGATCATCAGTACCTGGCCACGAATACCTAGAAGCTGATTACGAGTGTGCGCCAGGTTACATCATTGTGGGCAATTCAAGTAGGTTGCTTTGCAAAAATCGTCAATGGATAGGGCAATCGCCGAGGTGCAAGATCAAGCAGATTCCAGAAGGAGTGTGTATCGATGCTTCGTGTGATCAAATTTGCAAGCAAATCGATGGCAAACCAGTTTGCTCCTGTTACAAAGGTTTTCGTCTGGAAGACAACAAATGTGTTGGTAAGCTATTGTCATGAACTATACTGTTATTTCTTGTGCCTGCTTGTGGATAAACTGCGAATTTTTATGCAAGTACAAATTGTTATGGTGTAGTTCAATAAAATAGGAGTTGTATAAAGATCTTTCTTATTACAATATTTGTATGACAATTTTTTTTAATTTCTATGAAATCGTATATTTTATTGTATTTTATACACTTACGAAAACTATAAATCCATAAACTTCATAGTTTATTCATGGATATAACACTTGTTTAGTTGAAGACTGAAAATTGACAATCATTTTCGAAAACTTCCAATAGTACAATAATTACATTGGGTTTAACTATATCGAATCACATTGAAAATATCCATTTCTTTTTTAGTTGTCGATGTTAATGAAATATGACATTTTAAGTGATTGGTAATTTGTAAGTGGAAAAAACGTATTCGAAGTTCTTTAATATAAAAAAACAAATTATCTACAATTATTTTAGTAACTTAATACTTATAGAAATTACAGTAATTGTCTAATTAGTGGAATACGGATGATTATTCAGATTTGTCTTTTTATATAATACGTAGAGTAAATGTTAGATAATTGTCCAAAAACCAAGACTCAAATAGGACACTTATTAAGTAAAAGTAGAATTGATTCTAATTACAGAATTAACTTCAGCTGAGCTTTCGAGTTCGTGAATATAGAAAAGAACAACGCTAGTAAAAGAAAAACAGGTCTGAGGGTCAAAATTATAAAAAGAAATATGTGGATGAAAGAATATAAACATTACGATAAACAATTTTAGAGTATTTTTCGTTTAAAATTAATATTTACTTGTTGAAGTAATAATATTTAAATAAATACATAAATATAATTCAAATTACAGTAATGCTCGCTTAAATTCCACAATTTCGAGTCCCAGTAGTGGAATTCAACCGAACAGGAAAACAGAATGAAGCTATTTGTTTCCACGAATTGACTCGAGCACAGTCTGACAAAGGCAGAAAATCAACATAGTGAGCGGAAGCGGGATAGACACCATCGTTCTGGCATCGGAGGTCGAGACGCAGAACTTCAAAGCGATGCCGCAGGCGCAGATATAAAAATACCATAAAGAGAATTTCAATTGCAGTCATTTTAACCTTACCTTTTCGAATGTAATGTCAGTGAATTTTTGAGATAGTGATTAAATTCAGTCCAAATATGGCGGAAATCGGACTAATTTTACGGACTTAATGTGTTGAACGAAATTAAAGATTCATTTCTTTCAAATTGGTAAAACTAGACCAATTTACGACGTGTTTGGACCCATTATAATCAGATGAATCTTAATATTCCACCGATTTTAGGATTGAGAAAGTAAGGTTAAAATTATTGCAATTGAAATTTTCTTCACTGTATATTTATACTTGACGTATGCGTCACTTCTTTGACCCTTACCTGTCTCTCTTCCCCTCATTGTATTCATTTTCTGTCCCTGTCTACCGGGATAACGTTACACTGAGCTCGAGACAGTGAGTAGTGGAGAAAGAGTTGTCATGTGCAGTGGAATTAAGCCGAGCAGATTTCTGTGGAATTTAAGCGAGCATTACTGTATATCGTGTTTGGTATTATTTAATCAGAAAAATTACAGAACTACACGAGTAAAAGTATAATTAATAAAGGGATAAAAATAAAAAAATTAAAATGTTTGATCATTGAATTAGTATTTGCATCATAAAATTGAATAGAATTGTCTCCATTCAAGTAGAAACTTTAGGTTACCTCGCTCTTGTTCTGTGTCAAAGGCTCCCTACCCTAAGTGGCGGTGATGACTAACGAATGCTTGTTCAGTGATCTTGTACCGGAAAGGTATTCGATGTTTACTGTATAACGGTACCGAACAGAAATGAAGTGTTGCTTTCTGTATGAACAGTATTATATAGTTCATTAAGAATAGTCTAAAACTGTATCAAATTTTAGAAATCTTGCTCTTTTTGAGATTTGTATATACTGTAAATTTATAAACATCCGTAATCTAACTATAATGTATCAATTTTAAATTTTGCACGATTTGGATGTTATTGATTACCGTATTATAATTATATAAGTATATGTTCTATACATAATTTGAATTGAAATTAAACATTGTAATTAAACAGGATTATAGATTGTTAAAAATGGTCAAATTTCAATAAAACATTGCCCAGTTTTGAACAAATCTCTTTCTATTTTAGATTTATTTCATATTGCTTCGAAAAACAGCGAATGTTTAATTACATTATTACGAATTATGTTCGTTATTCTGGATATTAATACATAATAGTACTAATATATAATATTCATTCGTAAATTTAATTACTCTGTTATACATTAATACTTGCAAAATTGTTTTATTTGAATTCCTTTATAGATGTATTAGAATTTTATTTAAGTGTAGACATTACATATAAAAAAAGAATATGCAATACAATTGTATGAATATTTGTTCATAGTGTGTCAGTATAAATATGCAGCCAGAGTTAATGAGAGTTAAATTACTTCGCACGTTCAACTTCTTCAAGATGTTGCCCAAGTCTTGCAATTAAGTATTTGCACTTAAAATTTTTGAAGCCTGCTATTTTCAAATCTATATGCTTTATTTGTTGTACACTTTGCAACTGCTGCATAAAATGTAACTTCAATCATGCTTAATAATATAGTCTAATTTTCAGTCATTAAAAATGTTAAACATTTTCTGTTAACATCGAATCGTAATGTAATTTCATGATTTTTAATAATTGAAAAGTTTTTCTAGAAAACACTATGAATGTCAAAATTGGAAATTTTATATTTTTATTATCCAGTATCATACAATATAAGCGCAATTTTCCTTCTTGTAAATCATCAATAATACTATCAATACTAAAAGATATCATTTTGACATAACGATACAATAAGCTCACCGTAACGTTAGATAATCCTTCTGTTCTTCCTGAAAGATTCGAATTATGCCACTTACTATATTTTCTGTAAATACTCCTGAATTTATTAACGCATTTGCTGTTCAACCATCCGAAATTTTGTATTCATCTTCTTTTTATCTCATGGCAAATTGTATAGTAGTAAAACACATGAACGAGACCATTTTTCCATGGAAAGTTACCTGTCATGTCGGTAGAAAAGAAGTTTCTTGAGATGAAATATTGACAGGATACTCATTGAAATATCGACGGCTTTCGGCGTCTGTGATCGACAAGTTCTTCCGGTTGATATTAAAGTATCATCCATTACGTGCGAAAAATCCTCTACTTCGCTTATATGCATATACAGGGTAAAAAAGGGTGATAAATATAGAATAAAATTTGTTGATATGAGGTTTTGCTTTCGAGAAAATCGTCTCTGAATATTGACCTGGTACGCGTGCATTTCACCATGTCTCATTATTGGATCTCGCTGTAGATCATTGTCTCGATTGAGGTTTATGTTGATGAAAACTTGCAACGTCACAAAATAATAATGTACAATAATGTGCAATATATAATATATACTTCATATAGTTATATAAAAAATTATATATTTATATATCATATATTACATGATGTAATATACAATAATGTAATATGACTGTTTAATTTATTAACTTTCTGTAAATTTTCTATACTAATGAGCAAAAAGGATCACAAAATTTCTCTTGGAAAATTACTGAAGTTCAAAGTGATACATTAGAAAAATTATTCTACATCTTTTATTCAACTTTTTCAAACTGTATATGCGTTGTTGTATAAATCGTATTTTCTTCCCTTTACGGTCTTTCAGTGCTTCTTCCACTTCTCTACGTTTCCATTTCACCACTGGCTCTATTTAGTTGCCTGTCGCCTCTTCTTTCTTTCATTAAGTACTTTGGTAACCAGACTCTTCTTTTATATTTACAATGTTCGTTTTATACTTGCACTGTTCTATTTCTCTGTACCGCACCTGCTGTTGAATCCCAATATCTTTTCTTCTCGATTTCTCTGTTATTTGCTTACTTTTCTTTCAACTTGTTTCACTCCTTTTTAATAATCTTGCTTTTCATTCGTACTTTTGACAAACTTTTTGTTTATTCCTTTTTTTGTATTATCCAACAATTTTCCATTTTATTCCCAAATTCATGCTCGAACTTTAAAACTTGTTGTCTTGATTTTACTTTTATTTTCGTTCCCTTCACCTCTTGCAGAGATACACTGATCCACGAAGATATTTAAAATCGATACATTTATAATGGAAGTGTTGCATATACCGGATAATAAATATTTTAAAATTTCCGTATGAACGATGCTCGGAGTATGTGTGAGAATAATGTATACAGCGAGTGAGATGCCTATTTCTATTATGAATGTATCGATGTTAAGTATTTCTGTGGACCAATGTATCTAATCTGGAGTACTTATGTCTATTTCAATGTTCCAATTAATTTATTTTAGCTATATATTGTTTTAACTATATAATTTTATTATCATTATGTTAAACCACTAGGTCCCGAATAAAAACTTTTAAGGAAGATACATTTATTTCCATAATATAGCAGTCATTTCAATTAAAAGACATTCAACTAACAAATATCAACGAAATAGTATGACAAGTATTAATTAATTATATGCAGAATAAATATACAGTGAAATTGGAATTCTTCTAACCCATCTAGATATATGTAACCCCTTAAATTGACCGTGTATTCAGTCAGAAGGTGTCGGGAACATTTTGCCGGGGGAAGTTGTCCGAATTCCATAAATCACACATATTCGTTGAAATTCAGATGTGAACGAATGCCACCATGACAATGGAGGTTGCGAGCATAAGTGCGTGAACACGCTGGGATCCTTTCATTGTGAGTGTCCGAAAGGAATGAAACTAGACGAAGACAGATTCTTGTGCAGGGGTGAGTGATTTACGAATACACATGCCCGGCCACGAAATCCCTCTGTTTTCCTTTCGAAAACTAATTAAAACTAACAAGTCCAAAAGTATGTAACTATGAATATTTATTATAATTAATATCTCATGTCTAGTGATAAAATATAACTAACAATGAAAATAATAAAAAAGACAAGTTCGAAGGCTAACGTTGTTAAACCAAAAGTAAATTAAATTTTATTCAAATGAATATGATTAATCTCCAACTATAAAGATTGACGAGTGTGGGGAGAACTTAGTTTTTATTTGTAATTAAAATTTGGGAAAGAAGTGAAATAGTTTCATTGCAACGTCAAATATATTTGGCAAACATTTAGCTTTTTATACATGCATGTATAAATATGTGAATGGAACGTTCTGCTTATGTCACGAGTATGTGTTTTGAACTTATATATGTATTTTGGTATATTCTTATTATATATTTCTTATATACAGCATCTTTCTTATGTTTGCACTTTTGTATATCTTTTATGTATTTATGTATTACAGATATTTCGTTCGTCTCATGTAATAATAGAAAATTCTGTTAAGTACTGATATTTCTCTGTTTGATAAAATTGAAGAGATAAACAATTGTAATAGAAATAATATGCATAAACGTATAAAAGGGAAATAATAAAAAAATGATTTCTGTCTGCTCCAGAAGTTTTTCCGTTTTCGTTCTATAGCTTCTGCCATATAACTATAATAACAAAATTGATCCAATTCCTGATTTTGATGCCCTCAACATGTTTCGAGGTCATCAAAATTGAAGAGGTGCTCATGATTCCGCATAATTATCATAGTCCTGAGTAATTTCTTTATTATTATCTTCTTCATTATAATCTCGTATTTTGTAAAAGATAACGACTAATTTTAAGTAACAGTTTATTAACTATTTTACTACGACGTTCATTCGAATCGATATTTTTTATTTCGAAGATTAAAAGTAAATCTGTTAAAATATAATAAAGTGTAGAGAAAAAAATAATGTCATTTATATAATATTCTGCCATATGTATTAATATAAAAGATATAAAATATGAAAAATATAAACTTTTAATTTTTCCTTGATTTATGACACCCCTAGAATAAAAACTTATAATCTATTAGCACAGTGAAAGTGTCGAAACATGTATTGCCTTTGTAATACTCCAAATCACTGTTATCTTTCATAATGTTCATTTATTTATAATATCTATTCATTCATCATACCGCGAACTATAGAAACTTTCCAGCCAATCTTATATTTTGTTACACTCCAAATTACTCCAAATTAAAATTATCTTTCATTATATTCATTTATTTAATAGTTACTCCAAATTATTCCACGATAACTGTAGTTTTTCATTGTACTCATTCATTTAACTTATTTATTCCTTTATCGCAATACAAACGTCAGACTAAAGAAACTTTCTAGCCAATCCTATAATATAAACACAAGACGAATACAATCGTATCTGATTATTGCTGTATTTATTATCCAGACATTAACGAGTGTCTGTTGAACAACGGACATGGGCCTTGCCAGGATACGTGCCGGAATACCATAGGGAGCTATCAATGTTCCTGCGATGGTTTACAAGACTCGGTCCTGTCGGCCGATAACCACACGTGTCAGGATGCAGGTCCGTGCAGCGTGAACAACGCCGGATGCTCACACACCTGTCTCTCCACGATGGGCCGGGTGTTTTGTCTCTGTCCTGACGGTTTTATCCTGGAGGACGATTGGAAGACTTGCCAAGGTAATCAAATTCTTTCCTCCCCTCCTTCTTTTTCTTCCCTTTGTTTTTTACCGTGAAATCACGAGGGAATTTCAATAACCCACTTCAAATGGGACGTGAAGAATATTGAATTTCTGGGTGACCATGCGAACGATGCGACATAAGTAACTCGATCGTGTGAACCTGCACTTCGAATAATGCAGAGTGCGCAAGATGTTCCGGAACTCGTAAGCCGAGAAGAGGGTGAATCTACATGAATAAATAAATCGAAAACATAGAATAAGATTGTTCCCCGGAAGGCTTTGCTTCCGGATAATCGACTTCGAATGTTTGTTTGATACGCGCGCATTAAGTGTTCGAGGGAAGTTGGAAGTGTAAGTCGCGAATAGACGCGTCGGTCTATTCTTTGTCTTTGAAACTCGCGCAGTCGACACTTCGGAAAGGAAGTGTTGAATGAAGAAATTTTGGTCGATATAGTATTTTAATTTATTATTATTCTCTCTTCTGTTATATTATAAATTCGACAATACTGTATGTATTTGGTCGTCACATAAATAATGCGGTTTTTCTATATTTCTATCGTCTTTAAAAATTAAGATAAACAAAACTTGTTTAAATCCAAAATATAAAAAAACCGCATTATTTATGGGATGACTTAATACTATTGCAGTTTTGTACAAGTAAACATTAGATGTGTAATATCTGTTCCAGATGTGGACGAGTGTGTTCAACCAGATTTGCAAACGGAAATGTGTCGTTATGGTTGCATCAACACGCCGGGATCTTATCGATGCGCCGAGCCAATGGAGCTGAAAGATCAACCGATACTGGACAGTTTGTCGATCACCTGTCTGCCGGGTTACGAGGCGACCCCTGATGGAACTTGTATCGGTAAGTAGTTTAATCCTTCTAACCGATTTAGTAGGAAATCGGATTTCCGTAAAGCCCTTAGACGGATATTTTTCGTTACAGTAAATCAGTTTGCGGATTATATTCTGTGCATTTATAACTGAACTGCGGGTATCATATATTTTATGTATTTTACGTATTTATGGTAAACCCTATTAACTGCAATTCAACAATGAAATAATTTACTGAAGTTTCACGAGATTTTTAATTCATCTGGATCGAGATAAATTCCGTTATACATGGAATAAATAAATTTCTGTTTGATGCGACAATTAGTCCGTGGAAGTCTGCATTTACATAAGCATTTGTAGTTTATAATGAATATTGAAATAAATCGAGAATTCATTTAATGAATCTGCAATTGGCGACATTGTGAAAACAGCGTTTATTGTCTGATTCATTACTGCAATGCGTAATATTTTGTTTATAACAGTACTATCTAATATTCCCTATTGTCTTACATTTCTATTTCCACTGAAAGAATTACGAGAAATGAAGCGCAGAAATAGATTATGGATTCTGATAGAAAATTCAATTTTAGTTGCCAGGATCTACGAATTTGAGGTTAAATAGAATTTTATTCCTTGCATAACACTTTATAAGCAATGAATGCAAAACAATTTTCAACAGTAATGGTTATATATATAGTTATATGAATATTTACTGATGGTACTAATTATTTGATTATAATTAGTATTATTTATTGGTAAGTTGGAAACTTCTATAGAATCATAAACGGAGAATCAATGTGTTGACTAATGTCAGAAAGGTGATATCATGTTTATCTACAGTAATGGGTATGTTATTGATAAACCTATTTTTACGATTTTATTAAAACATTATGACATACTATTATCTCAAATTTGAAGAGATTTAAAATTTGAGAATTTTTCGAAAAGTTATATTTTCAAAAATTTTATTGGTCAAAGTAGGTGTTCATTTTTCATAACGAATGAAATCAAAGTGTTCGCGAATATACCCTGATCTACTAAAGTATTTAAAATATGGAGGAAATTATTAACCTAATAAAACCATTCTACCTCAGACATATATTGTTCAACTTCATTGAAATTTATGCGCATAATCCACACACTTATGGATTATACGTGCAAAAGTTTAAAAATATCTATCATCCTGGAGATTCTATTTTTATTATATATGATATTTTAATAATTTCGTGAATCAGACTATGTAGTGATTAGCAAGAGTTTAATTTTCAAACAGTTGTACTGCGGAAAATACAACAATAAATTATAATTTTATTTAGTTTAGAAAGGTTCATCAATTATAATTACGAGCGGAGTCTATCAAATGGAAGGTAATGTCTTATTTTCGTTTATATTGGTAACATGCAAAATACTTTTAAAGATAAATAGTGTAAAAAGTATTTAAAAAAATAATAGCTTGATGCAGTGTTTACAGTTCTGCACGTCTCGTTAGAAGTATAAAGAACAGATGATAATACGGGGAAAGAATAATGAACGCTTTTTATGCTGCGTGTAGAAAAAACGGTGCACGTTAAAACTCATTTCTAGAAAATAATTGTTGGTATTACTATTACACGCTTTATGAAAATGTTAGCAGGACTTTTATGTCGTGGTTGTAATTTCAAAGCATAAAAAGGGGAAAAAATAATTTTTTGCGTATTCAACTAACATTTGTTGTTTTTATGTATTCGTCAAATTCTAGAATGTGTGTAGCTTTTTATACACACAGTGTGAAAATGACAACTTCTTAATGATAGTTTGGCAAGAATCGTAATTTTGTTATAAAAAGTCACCATAATTTCTGTGTCTTCTATTTTTTGTTCAGTCTTTCTCAATCAATTGTTTAAGTTATAAAATCTGAAATGATGTCATTCAACGCAAGCAAGAACAAAATAATATTTTTGAATGCTGATGGATTGTTAATTAATTAAATTACATGTAAATGTAAAATGTGCCACAAAACAATAGCAAAGACAAAGAAAACATTTAATTATGCGCCAATTAAAAGAATAACCAAAGAATGAAATACTATGACATATTCGTTTGAAATGTTTAAATATGCAAACAATAGAACTAGTGAACAAACCAATCACGAGTTTTTTTAGAAGAATTGGCTTAAAGAAAAAATAAACAAAAAAGATTAAGATAAAGAGAAAAAGAAAAAGAAAAATATTAAACGGCGAGAAGAATTTGTTAATTCTTATATTGTTAGTAGGCACCTATAAGTGATTGTGAAAAGATGATATGATCGGATGAGATCAAAGTAGCTTGAATTGGATGGAAGGTTTCAGTATTGAACATCATCAAAACAAAACAACTATGACAGGGAGCTGGGATAGCTTCTTGCGCTGAAATTGTTTTTCACGCAAACATGTTGATTTTAGTGGAGCTTCAAAGATTCACACGTATGGAACAATATTCAAATATCTTGCAAAGTAATTTATATAAGTATCAGTAATAATGCAGCAGTGAAAATAAAGCATTAATATTAAACTAATAGAACATTTGTGATCAATCATTAACAGAAGGCTAAGTTAATATGAAAACCCTCCATCGAGTACACACTCGTGGATACGAACACAATAGGAATAGTATAACGTCGAGCTAAAAATTATATAAGGAAAAATCAAGAAAATATTAACCCTTTGTCATACGATTTTCATGATGACTATTCCTGTCAAATTCATTTGACCATTAATAGTCTGCGAAGACTCAAAGGAATATTTTATTCGCAGTAAATTCACATTTAGTTTGACGGTAAAACACTGATATTAATAAAATAAATTTATTCTTCGATTTATTAAATTGAGGTAAAAATTTTCATCACGTTCCCCACTCGCCATTATTCTGCAAAGGATTAATATAACATCTCTTCACGAATAGAATATTAAAATACAAAATTTTAAAAACGATATCGGAATTTTATTTTTTAAAATACTCTGAACATTGTTAGTGTAAACGAATATAAATCTCCATATTTTATTTACTAAAGTAACTTGTAAAAGCAAGTATCAATTGTTATAAATTAATTTAAATGATTAATTCATATCGTGTTCTTCAAAAGATGTTTTTACACTTTTGCTCATCATTGTAAATTTCGGACCTTTGTATGTTGGTGTGTGAGTAAGTGATAAAAGAGAACGTTCTGTTTGCATCGTGGTGCCTTTTGTGCTTCATTAATTGTTGTTGTAGCAATTAATTTCAGGAAATCCCATGCGGTGCCGAGATGAAGGGGATATTAAAAGTTTTTAATAACAGTCTATTAGGAAGGGGAAACACTTATAATGAATGTACAATTATATTGCTCACATATTCTCCGATGATATCACTCTCTCTTGCTTCCTCTCTCCCTATCCCCACTCTTCTCTCTTACACGTATGCACTTGCACTCCTATGCACGATGCATTCGAATAACTTTACAAATGAGTGGAAGGTGATTTTATATGAAAAAAATAAGAAACAAATATACGATAACGTCTTTTTGTCTGATAAAAATATGCAACCCCGAGAATTTTCATATTAACCCTTTGGCGACGGGTGCTGTGTATATACGGCAGTCACTTGGTGCCTCACAGCGGCTGACGCCGTGTATATACGGCAGCCACTTTTTGGTCCACAGAGGCTGACGCCGCTTATATACGGCAGTCATTTATTACTTTACAGCGGCTGACGCCGTCTAGATACGGCAGTCACTTATTGGTTTTTTTATATTATTATTTTATTTCAACAGCGAACTCAAAATAAAGCTATAAATACATTGGTGGCGAAGTATGGTTCACTTGCGCTTTCGCGAACGACGACAAAGTATGGTCAGTCGCGCCGTCGCGAAAAGTGGCAAAGTATGGTCAGTCGCACTGTTGCGAAAAGCAGCGAAGAATGGTACAGGTGCGCCGTCGCGAAAGGGTTAAATCGAGTACAGAGAAGTTTGTACAGCTCGCCTCTTCCGAATTAGAACCCGCTCCATCGGCTACGCAGGTTGCGGGATTAAGAGGGGATGCCCAAACCCGCCGCGCTCGGCCCAGTAGTTATAGCAACAGTGACGCTTCAACCACCGTACGTTCTCGGTATAGGCCGTCTGGATCCTTCGTTCCGCGGCTCAGCACATATACGGCTACAGTGCGTTACCGATGTGAAACCAGCCGGCCCCTGACATAAAGGTGAAGAGGGGCAAGAGGAGATGTCCAACTCGCGGCACTAGGCCCGGTAGTAATGGCGAAATTAGTTTCGGCACGTCTTGGTTACTGGCCGAGCCGCGAGCTGAGCTGGAGCTTGCGGCCGAATCTCTTCGCCCCTCTTCACTTTTGAGCCGCAGGCCAGGGATCATGTCAGTAACGCACTGTATACGGCTAGGCACATAACGGTTCAATTTTCCGAGTAATTGTATGTACTTTGATTTAACATTGAATTCCAAGAAGCATGCGAAAACTGTTATGATTGATTTAACCTCTTTTGAAATGTTAATGTAATGTAAACTGAATTTAACATTCACTGAAATTGATAGTTTCTATTGCAAATTTTAATTTAACATGTCTGGTTTATGGTTTTGAAATAGATTTAAAGATTGAAATTTTCTCGTGACAATGATGCTTTAGAACTTAGAGTAAGTACGATTTTCCTTGTTTTACGAAACACTATTAATAGTGTGCTGCTGACAACAGAATAAATGTGAATACACTGAACACAAATGGAATGTACGAACTAAAGGCACACTAAATGTACACAATAGACACAGATCATTAATACATACGTGTTGTCTTGGGGTATTTTAATACCGGAAGCATACTATTCATTCATAGTCCAATGAAATGGTAAGAAATCTATAAAAATGGGAATTTGCGTAAACGTTCGCGATCCACGTAAAGTCTTCAAGAAAACGTATTACTTTCTTATATACGTATATTTTGAAAGTACAATAAAAATGTCCACCGAGGTCATAACAATTCTGTTCTTCTATCGGCGTGGTAATTGCATTTGTCGTTCATTTAGCAGCGCGAA